CATCCCACTTTCCCCGTCACCCCCTCATCTTAAAAAGGAGTCGCGGAGGAAAGTTGTAGTTTGTAAAAACCAACTCCCACGAGAGGAGACTTAATATTTCACTTCGAATCGGTGTTACAACTGACTCGAAACACAATTCGATTTGCTTATATAGCAACCGCCGGTCTTTATCGAAACTTCTCGAACGCTCCCGAATATTGTAGCATGTTCTCGAACAAACACAGTCATATTTCCCGGAACAAATGCGTCACATCCGCATTCGCTGTTTATCGCCCATGATTAATCTTTTATGACCACTCGATGTCTATCGAGATTTCTAGAATACCCATAAACAAAAATAATAACAATGATAGCACTTAATATTAAACCCATCATTATGAAGACATGATTTTTATACGCTATTTTTTCTGTTAGAAATTGTCTTGTCAACTTTATCGACCTTTGACATAAGAAACAACGAAGGTCATAATACAAATACCATCCAACTTGAAACTAATCGTTACCATTACTTACTTTATTTATTATTAGGAACATACTATTGGAAAGTTTAAGAATTCCTTTAAACTTAAGTTTAAAGTGTATGAACCATTCGGGAAGTAAGTAGTAGCTCTCTACCAGTGTGTAGAAAAAGAAGAATCATTGTAGTGGGAGGCCAAGCGAAGCCCTTACAAGAAGTTCTCCTTTTCGTATCTACAAGATGATAATTTTTGACCCCTTTTTGGAATACCTACGCCTAATAGAAATTGCATAATGTGGGTGGATAGTGGTCAGAAAAGCATTAGTAAAATTTTAAAAATAAACAATGTGTAACGATGTTAGGTCAGCGCCTTTCCCACAATCGCGTGTGAAACGCAAACGTATCGCTGAAAATGATTCATAAATAACAAATAAGAATTATGGAATGTTCCGTTGGGCAACTTATATCGTCCAATGATTAGATTATCCTTTCGAATTACGCCAAAATTATTAATGGCATTCGGATACATGGTGGAACTTCAAGGACGTTAGCAAATCAACTAGTGCCCTCGAAGGGTATAATTTTGGAATCGAACTCTCATTTCCCTTTAGCAACAAACTAAAGGCAAAGCACACCCACAATTTCCCCAATCCTGATGAAAGAGCAGGGGTATCACGGCACGTGGAAATCTCCACCGAAAATTACAAATCAATTTGTGTTTATGAAGCATTAACATTGACCTGCCCCATTGAAAGCCCTGGAACTGAATACGAAATTACAACGTATTTAATCATTATAATTTTGTATGAAGCTTTGGCATTTCCGTGTTTTATTTGTGTGTATATTTTTTTTAAATTTGATCTGGCATTACCCCTAGCAAATAAAGTCGAGGTAAGAAAAGTAGGTATTGCAAAAGCAGCCGAGGGATCGATTAGCATGAAATCTGGCGAGACATATACAAGTTTTAAAAAAATGCACTTATATTGATCAACTTAATTTGAAGGAGTTATTTCTAGACCGCTGGAGCAAATAGTTATGGTAAAGAACTGTTTGTTTCACACCTAAGCGATTAAAGCCTTGGTGGTGGCCACAATTTATCTATACTCCAATTTTTTTGGGAAAACACCCAAACAAACTGAATGTGCGGAAAGTTTATTTCACTGCTAATTAGAGATTATTCTTATTATTGTACTAGGGGTGTGTATTATTGTACTTTGGTCTATATTGTGCTCCCCGCTATTGTCTACCCTTCAAGAATTCATGTATGCTATATGTAATCCCACAGGTCGTATGATTTTTGCCCGTAGTATAATTATTGGTTTGCTTGTTTTCGTGAGCTTTGAGAATTTGCAGCGACAAGGTGTAGCGCTTTTGCAATTTGGTTGGCACTTGTTGCGTAATGTGAAATTGGTTAAAAGTCGGGACATCCGTTTGGTTGGTTTGCTGAAAACAGGTTCGGGATTGTCTGGATGCCGTTTGACAGGAAACTGACCTTTTTCTATATCATTGGGTGTAACTGGAAACACGCGATAATATTTTTTTTTTACTTACGAAGATTTCAACAAGTCGTACTTAGCTAGTTTTATTTGAATCATTCGTTTCTTACTGAAGGGTAAGGATTATTCCAAACGTGTGTCTGATTGTTTCGATGTTACATGTGAGGTGTATTTGTACGTGTTCTTGTTCTACACCAACAAAACACCTGCTCACCTAGCTCAAACAAAACATTATTGTTTAAACTTTTTATAATTTCTCCTCGTATACTTTGCCATATGGTACAAAGATAAATCCCAATATACACTCAACTTCAGAAAATGCCAAAGAAAATTAACACCTGACACAATTTTTGGAAACGAGAAAAAGAATCTGACATGAAAACTCTATCCTGATCATACGAAGGATTCGAATAAACCCTGGAATAAACACACAATTCACTCCAAAAATGTATTCCGAAACACATGAAATAAAGAAAACTCCTGAAAGAAAGAAAAGATTACAAAGCTTGTTGGAACAAATTACTCTGCACGCAGGCGTTCAATAAACAAAATAAGAAACTCTGTTTACGGTTTAATTATCCTACTAATTTAGACGCACAAAAGTTTGCGATAACAAGGCACACTTAACTTCAGACACAAACGCTGGCAGCTTCTGAATTTTGCTTTTCTTTAATACACAAATCCTTAACAGTACCCCTCACTTCCTTTTTCAACTTACCAGACTTTTCATAAAACGTACAGGGCTTTAAACTTTTCACACAATCCTAGTTAACCTGCTTCTACTGTGCAACATTATTATAGTATCACACTTTCCAACCGTCACGAACCAGCCAGCCGCGTTTTTCGTTAATGCCCAGTATTTAGCAAAACAGCACTTCTAGTGTAAAAATCTCCTTCCCCGGGATTGTCAAATTAAGTCGCTAATCACAATTTCCCCTGATAGGCGTTAGCCAACCAAATTAAATGAATTACAATGGCGATATTTAAACAGAGAATAGCACGAAATTACGAACAATTCTAAAAGGAGAAATAATGCTGAGGCACAAATTCAAATACAATAAACCAACTTTGAGCTTAATTCATAAATAATCACCCCGATTTTCACTTAATAAATTGAACATATTATACAAGTGGTGTTTAGACCGAAATAACGTCTAGAAAACGTTTTTTACACAATATTTTCCCCCTTAAATTGAACACAAAATCAAAATTACATCAATTCCCCATGGAATACAGAAACAAACCTATTGGAAATGTGCATTTTTGATTAATTTACCAACTGATCACTTTTTAATAGGTCGGGATTTGAACATGATCGCCTAAAACAATTCCCTGGTAAAATCTCGCATCCAACAAACAACAACAAATTGAAATGTTGTAATATACAGGGTTGCTGATTGTGCTTGAACCAGGCAAGTTGCGTATTTTTTTAGTAAAGATTCTCTTTTATTAAGCACTTCTTCCTTGCAAGCGAGTGTGTCTTCTGTGGTGCATGACATATTTTTTTTTTAATACTGGCAACTGAGTGGACCAGCCACCCTGTATAAATGCATGTAAGAATTCAACCGTTGCTTCATTTTAAATTACGTAAATATTAACTTTTTTATTTATCCAGATATTTTTTTGAAATTTTGATCACAGATGCTTCAGTTAAAGGCAAACATATCTCATATTGTAAACACTAGAGGCGTTGCGCATTCTGTGCAGTGCCAACCTCCTTATTTAGGAGGGTATTAGAGGATTCTAGTAAAGAACAACATATCACGTGTAGTAAAAATCGAAAACTACAAATGTCATCAGCAAAGGCAAACACATCGCACATAGTAAAAATTAATTGCGCGCATGCGCAGACTGTAAAATTCCGACTTTTTACTTCTGAAGATCTCTCTTTAAAGTATGAACCATAGACGCTTCTAGTAAAAAAAAACTTTATGCGGGTCACTCTGTAATTGTAAATAAATAAATAAATAAATAAAAAATATCAGTAAATAAATACTACTTTTTACTTGTTATTTGTTTAATTAATTATGCTTAAAGGGTGGACCAATCACTATAAATACATGAATATATGTACGCAACCCTTGTAGGTCAATTCTTCTATCGTCTTAATTAAAGGTTTGATTTCCCTCGTCCAATTGTTTAATTTTTCTGTGTATAATTACTGATTTCCTATGCTTGTGTGGCCAGTGTGTTTCCGTAGCTGTTCTCTACATTGGCTTATTAATCAGTTCCACTTTTCTTTTGCTTTCTATCTGGCCACTTCTGTTTTCATTAACGCCTTGTCGCCTTTTATACGTGCTCTGTGCCTGCATACTTTTTTTTATTGTATAGCATATGTTAAATTGACATTTTAACAGGTTTGAATCAGTAGGCTAATCCGTTCTTTACCGTAAGGGTAGATAAAGTGAAACAAATGACTGTGCATTCTAATGACATCTGTCAATCTTTTTCAAACGCACGATATAAAATGACGTTCAGAACATATGACAGTTCTGTTTCTATAGAAACCATTTATTCTCTCCCCTTAATTCCTGTCTATTTCAGGAGCCCTTCCCTACATTAGCGGTAGTATAGACTGTGTCCAAGATAATGTATCATGGGGATCGCCGAAACCATAGAAGATACGACGATGGTCAAATTAGAGAAAAGATGCACAAAAAAGAGTTTATTATCATGCTTTAAAGAACATTCCAATTACTTCCGAAGATATGCCAGGAAAACCGCCATCATCCCATCTGTGGTTTTGGACATCTCCTCCTTCTCTTATACATTAACCTTTCGACTTTTTTGATTGTTGGATTCTTGGTCCCCATATCAACCTTAATCTACTAAAAAGGTGTTGTCTCGAATTGTGCAAGATTGCTATTGATTTCGTACTATAGAAACAATCCCTGCCCGAAAGAATCCCAAAAATGTGGAAATGTGGAAACCCGGAAAAGTATGTCGAGTATTGTATGAGGAAAACTAAAATCAGAGTACTTATTACTTCCGAACTAACTTTCTCAGTTCGCACCTATGACGATAACTAACATCCTTTTAAATTGCAGATGGCGCCCATCACAGGGTATCATCAGGCTGTGAAACGCTACTAAACACAAGCCCAATAGACAAAAGCAGCATACACAACTGCGAAGACGACAAAGGTACCTTCAAAGTTAAGGAGTGCCGCGTCTGCAATACCGAGCTTTGCAATTCGGCCGACGCCAGAAAAGCGGCCCTCATCTTACTACAAATTTGTCTTCCAATCGCCTACTTGGCCAATAAAATGTTTTAGATCCACTTTGTTACGCCATTAACGAATTGAAAATAAAAACTGTTACTAGGAACGTTGACTTTTATTATTATTATTATGTAGACCCACCACCTGCCGATAGCGGCGAATATTGATCACCTACTTTGTCCTATTTTCTCAGCGTCGAAAAATAGAAATGTGTTTGTACACGTCGGTTCCCCAAAGTTACGAAGAAGCCTCTGATAACGATCAATAATTTCTGGCGCCAGATTTACTACAAGGGCGGCTTAATTTTCCGGTGTTAATTAGGGCGACTTTTGTAATACACCCCGTAGTATTCCAGTAACGAACGCATTCTTTTTTTGATTAATGACGTCGTGCGGGCATTTCGGATTTCTATATAAGCAAGCAAAATTAACGTCTGGAATGGGTGGTGGCGTCTCTGTGACGGCACCCTTAATACACGAGAATAACAAGGCAAGGCGTCGGTTGCCTATTCCAGAATCTCCACACAAACTACCGGAAAATAAGTTGTCTTCTGAATCTATTGGATATATTTAGATCGTAAAGCTATTAATATGTAATTGTCGCGTGCTGACGTAAGTACCCACAGATTCAAATTGCGAAAGGTCGCGCCCGCTCGATTTTGGCAAGGCTCGCAAGGGAAAATTGTTGAAAACCGCTGGCATCGTAAACAGGGAAAGGTCCATCAATAAAATGGGGAGTGCCAACTTGTACGATTGTATTGAAAGTAATTACGCGCATTATTTTATTATGCAAGCGTACCTTGTCGTCTGTGACTTTTTTTAGACGTTCAGCACGTTATGCAAAAAGGATGTGCTGGTATGACAAAAATAATTATTATTTCTTCCTGAAAGGCGGTACAACTCCTTTTTTGTATATTATTAGAAATCGGTTATATTGCATAATTGTACGAGTTTTCTACGCTTGTCAACTGTCAATTAGATTTATTTCATGTCGTTGCCTTGAGAAAATAATTTAGAAATTTTATAGGACAACTTGCATTTTTTTTATCCAACAGTAGTTAAGCATAACACAATGGAAAAATAGGCATACTTTTTCTCGTACCCCCAAAAGTACAGATGGAGTTGTTGGCCTAACTTGCAGCAAAGAAAATAAATTTTTCTTGCACCCATTTATATCTGGATGAAGATTCTCATAAAGATGAGAACGAGAAAGCAAATTACTGACCACGAAAAAAAAATGACTATTAAAAAAATAGATATCGAGACGGAGAGCAAGGAAAATGGAAGCAACAGAAATCTTTTTTAAAGCAATATGATGTTCAATTATCCTAATAATAACGAGGGGTAAACCGAGGGGAAAACCACTGTAGAATTCTGGTCTACAACCTCTTGGAATTGAAGAAATTCTTATGGAATTCATGGAACTCTGAAATTCATTTGGAATTTTAAGCGTTTTTGTGATTTACTTTTTGTTAATTTTTAAATAACAATATTGCCAAAGCCCTGCGCTCTTCAAGAAGAAGAAAGTGAAGCAAGTCTTCAATTTTCATTATTGACTTCTAAAAAAAACAAAAAAATGAGTCAATTTTGATGAAATTTTTTAGGTAATCAACGTAAATCCGCGTTACTTCAGACAAAATGACGTCTGGGAAGTTCCCCTGAGCGGCTGGGGAGCGTGCTCGAGGAGGTGCGCGCTCGCTTAAAAATTCACGGTTCTGAAAAAATTGGACGTGCGGCGCTAGGCCGCCACCCGAGGGAGGTATTTCGGGGGGCAGCTTCCACGTAATGGAGAAAATTCCTCCGACCAATGGGGGCGGCGAAAAAATCGAAAAAGAATTTGAAATTCGAGAATCTCGAAAGGCGAGGGGCGAATAGCGCGGCCGCATGATTTCGGCATAACAGACCTGCTCGCAAAAAATTGAGAAAAGCGCTAAAGCAGGTTTCGGGGGGTTTCGGGAACGTTAGGAATCAATTTGAACGTAAATATCGTATTAAAATTATTGCTTTGCCTTTAAAGGCAAAATAACCGGGCAAATAACTACGAGGGTTATTGTCTTCCGGGGTTAATGGAGGGTTCTTTTGTCCCGGGGATCTTTTTTTAGCCAAAACAGGATCTACACGTAGTCGGAGAAAGTATTAATATCAAAAACTTCCACAGAAAAAACGGAGCTGTAATAGTTAAATGAACCTCAAGCAAAGGTAATAAATTACAATTCGATTGTATCGAAAACCAGTATGTAATCAAACGTTAATCTAGCAGTAGATGAAAATGAAAAAAAATTACCTTTGAACATCCGGTCGAAACCTTGTGAGCTCAGAAGGGCGCGTTCTGCAAATCTGTAACAGACAACAACACAACAAACAAGTAATAGGGGTAGTGAATTGCGCTGCACATAAGATATTGCGAGATAGCAATTTCTAACATCTGACACAAAGGCAATCGGATACTAAAAACTGTAATTAAATCTCAAAAAGAATCAATGATTCTAATGTCTTTACACTAGCGAAAGCAAAATTTTGATCGAGCACGTTTTTCTCGTACAATATGAAGTATGGAAGCATAAGCGGGACATTAAATTCAAGAAAAATACTTTACAATACACAACACTGTAAATAAATTAGTATGAGTAAAACAAATAACGTGACTAAAACATATAAATGTCGGCTTCCGACAAAGCCTCGGTGACTTCAAAACTAACTCAGAATCGGATGTCGATAATAGTAAGGCATTCTTTGGTAACGACAAGGCAAAGTACGTAGTATGAGGTATAACGGAGCGATTTACAAGAGTAATGTTTTACGAGTTTTCGCAAATATCGCAGTGTAAGTCAACGAACTTCATGTAATTAGGACACAGGTAATTGTGGTATGACGTGATTAAATACACTCGAATCTGCCGGTAAGGTAGAAACTTACCTATAGCGTCGTTCGCCGCTGTTAAGCTTGCTAAAATGGCGGGTCCAAATAAATATGCCAAATCATCCACGTACTGCGTGGTCTAAGTAAATCAACGTAAAAGGTAATCCAAAAGAAATGAAGATGAATAACTTTGACTGAAAGTAAAAAATGCTCTTTACTATTCATATGGATACCAATGTGTTGACTTATGTATCATTTCGTTTTGTAAGAAGATGAAGGTTTGGATAGTCGGATTAACACCCAATAACTAATAATACATTAAATAATGAATAAAGAAATGAAGATAAAGATTAAGATGAATGTCAAGATGCAAATTAAAATAGAGGCCAAGATCAAGATAAAATTTAGACCAATATCAGGAAAGATCTAAATGAAGATCGAGATTTTTAACTATAAGATTAAGATGCCGATTAAGATGAAAAGATCACAAAATGAAGATACATATGTAAAGCTAGTGGATTCAGATGAAGATAAAGCAGTAGATCGAGATAAATGTCGAAATAAGATCTATAAAACTGCAACATAAGAATGAAAATGACTAAAGATACAGATTACTATGAAAACAAAAGTCAAGATTAAAACTAGACAATGGGTGGACAAAAAGAAAAGACAGATCAAGATGAAGATCAATGTGAAAATAACATGGGAATTACGTCGACGATTAAAATGTATATTAGGGACTTAGGGTGAAGGAGACAACAACAAAAAAGACGAGGAATGTTCCAAAGGAGGATCAAGGTGTAGATAAAGATCATAATAAAAGCCAAGGTGAAGATCAAAGTTAAGGTCATAAAAAAGATCGAAGCGAAAATCAAGAAAATTATGGAAATTAGCGCAGTTTTTGTGTATTAACAGTAAAATTAAGATGCAGTTCAGGGTGAAGGGAAAGGATCAGTTGCGGATCAAGAGAAATGCTGATGATAAAGATGAAAATCGTGTCAAAAAAAAATCGAGCTGAGGATGGGAGAAGATGAGATCATGATAAAGATCAACACGAAAATTAACGTACAGGATGAGATACCGATGGTAACTGAGATGAAGATCGAGATAAAGACTAATTTTCTGACGAGAAGAAAAATTATAATCAAGAAGTTAAACCAAGATGCGGTTTCAGATGAAGGTCCAGCTCAATATCAAGATTGAGATAATAAGATGAAGATTAAGATGCACAGAAAAAAAGGTCAAAGTGAAGATCAAAATTAAAATCACGACAACTGTCATGATAAAGAAAGGTCAGATCTAGAAGAAGGCGATAAACATTAATAACATAAACATAAAGTGAAGACGTACGGAACAAATAAATCTAAAGATAACAATAAGATCAAGTTGAAAGTTAAAAATCATGGTGAATCAATACCAAAATCAAGATTCGATCAAGGGGAAGATGAACATATAGACCACGATGAAGAGCAAATTAAAGATCAGGGTGAAGATAAAGAAAGGTCAAATTTATACCAGATGGAGGTGAAGCTCCAAATCAAGATCGAGAGAAGATAATATGGATTAAGATGACATTTTACGATACAGACAAAGATGAAAATCCAGATCAAAATGCAATAAAGGTGAAGATCAACGCTAAAATCACGATCAAGGTCAAGATGAATGTCGCGCTGCAAATCAAAATGGAAGCGATGAAGATCAACATAAAGTTAAGATGAAAGAGGATTCGATCAAGATGAAGATCAACGCAAAGTGGAATATAAAGATGTAGATCGAGATTAATTCTCTTTGTGAAGATGGAAGATGCCAGATCAAGAAGATAATTAGAATGAAGGAAAATACATATGCAGAATCCAGATGTTAATAAAGATGACTATCAATATAAATATGAAGATGCGAAATCAAAATTGAGGAAGAAGATAAATGTGAAGAACGAAATGAATTCGGAATGGAATTTGGGCTATACTACATTACTACAAAAAAATTAGCCATACATTTTTAACTTCCTGCAGTTCCTAATTTAGAGTGGCGAGGTTCGCCCTCCCGAATTAATTGTTTCTTCTGAAAATCAAGCTCCCCAACCATCTGGTGAAATTCTGGATTAAATAAATCAAGCATTCCAATTGAGCTTATGCATATACAGCCCAGAGTACGTTAATTTTGTTTTGATAGAAACCAACATAATTTCTAATGTTGGCTAGTTACCATAGGTCATAGTGTTAAATTATGCTTAATTACTTTCAATTTAATTGCAACTCTTATCAACCGGCATGTTCACATCAAAAAGTTGACCTCTAAAATGAATTTAAAAAAAAGTCTAATTAGTGAAGTCATATGTTTAGACTTGCTAATTATCTGCCGTTTTGAAAAATAAACTTACGTAATTTTAATTTTTGGATCTATCCAGGAATATTCCTTGTGGAATAGTCCACTACTTTCTAGCAAAGACTTAAAGGCTATAAACTCCCAGCTTCCCAGCTGCAGGTATTTTTTGTATGATTTTCCTGGAACAGTACACAACGCCTAAGAATTTTGGAATGAAGCAGAGACGAAATCAATTTTTGAAATTTTTTCTATTCAGATAATGCACGATTTCGATTATCTACATTGTGCAAGTGGTATTTTTATTACACATTACCGCAAGTATACTCATATTATGATAACTTCAATAAAATTTCAAGGCTAAGCATTTCAAGTGGAATGATTCATTAGGCGATGTATGTAGTGTTGTATTTTTAAACAACTTACTCCCCATTAAGAGAGAGCTAATAATGGTAATTCCAACTGGAATGAATTATAAATATACGTTTCTCTTTCTGTATCATCTCAGAATGCGTTTCGATCAGTCATTGTTAGTTAATTTTATTTATTAGTTAGCTCCCAATAGCGGGTTTGTTGGTTTATAATAAATTCTCCGGTGTACGGTCTAAGAAAATAGAATTGGACCGAAAATTCCACAAATTTCTACTAATCTCTTTTCGGTTATTTTTGTTTTTTTTTGTCACAGTTGAAAGGGAATTGGCGTAGAAAAGTGGGGGACGTTATTAGTTACGGAATTACATTTCTGATAATTTCTGATAGTTACGCCACTAATATAAAATGCAGACACGTAAATAATTGCAAGAATTGATTAGTAACTTTCTGAGAGTAGTCCCACGTGATTTTCCTTAATTGGTAGTAGGTTGTGCATGTTGTCCATGAGATTAGACTATTAGAACGAATCATATTTGAATTTTCCTTCACACCATTCCCATCATTTATTCCTTGGGATACATACCTTAAGTTTCGATTTTATTTTAAAATCCTTATCGGAATTTAAAATGTAAGATAGGAGTAGTTTCACCACTTTGGTAGCGTTATCTGATGAATGAATGCAATTGCGAATATAAGCAAACCGGCTTCAAATTCGCGAAAATAATACTCGAGATCGTGCTTGTGCACAGGAGTAATAGGCCAATGTTCCGCTGTGTTCCTATTAATTTTACCTAATTTATTCACCAGGGTTTGCTGCGAAAAAATGCACTGATTTTAAAGTCCCTGCCGTATGCCGTTGTATACAAAATTTTATGTATAGCACAAGGCGCTGTCTTCACTCAACTTTCACGCTTTAACTATAACCGTTGTTATTAGCAGTGCGTGTAACGAAGCACCCGTTTTTCGGCCTGAAATTCAAGCCCGAAGTTATGACCACACCATATATTTGTGGAGTCAACCAGCTTTGCTGAGCACCCGGTATCTAGAAGCGTTTTAAGTTGAGTGCTTTGTTACTAAGTAGTAGAAATCGAACCATGAGGGTCTTTCTTGAAACACGCCTAAAAATGCCGACCGGGAAATAATTGTTGATTATTCTATTTGATTCGGGCTCACCCTGGTAGCTTCACTAAGAATTTAATTTTAGCGTACCTCACGTAGTAGGTGATTGTTTGCGAAAATTAGCTTAGAATCCAATTTTTAACGCACCCAAAGTAGCACGTTTCGACCCGAGAAATGAAGCTTATAATGCCCACTCCACTTCCTTCTATATTTAAATTTCTCCCGGTGGAAGTTCTGAGACAGGCCTCGTTTCTGAATACTAGGGTACGTTTATAACCGAATAGTAAAGCTGCATTTTTGTCACGTGCTCGATTTTAAAGAGAACTTTCAGGTTCGAAGAAATCGTGACAACCGCGCTCGCTTCCCCCAATACGGTTTTGGTTATCGCCAGACATACTTTTGTTCATGTTCGCGAAGTAGTGGTGTATGTACAGATTGTCATGAAGGATATATTACAGGTATATTTTTGGAATAGGTTTAGGTCACTGAATTTGTGTATAATATAATATAATATGAGTACAAAAAAATATAAACATATAATGCACATATCAAATGTTTTTTTTGATAATATTGCTCTTGGCTAAAGCAACCGCTATTGTGTCATATTGAAAAACATTATTTACAACGGATCACTATCGCTATTAAGCGCAAAAGTTGTTGTCTTGTAGTGTCTTTAATAAATAATAACGAATTTTAGCGCTTTTGGGACCTATTGCTTTCGTCCGTGTGGTGCAATTCAGTTGAAGCTAGACTGCGGTACTAAGGGTCCCTGGTTCGAATCCGGGTGTGGGCATGGATATTTGTACATGTTTTGTGGATTGGGTTGGTAGAGCAGCCTTGGTTGAAACCCCGCTCACTCAAAAATGAAGGCAAAATAAATAAAGTCATTTAAATAGGTCAGTCTAAAAACACCGAAAGAAATCGATATGTCCAAAAAGCCTATAAAAGTGCTTACATTGCTCTAGTAAGAACCTAAATACCACGAGAAACGGAGTCTTAAATGCTCCGATGCTAGGCTAGCGTAGACAGTTTTGAAAATGCTCTAAAAACGGACTGTAAGGCTTTGTAAAGGCCCTGAAATACTCTACAAAGGGTCTAAGAATTTATTGATAACCTAAACACCTTTAAAATCGACTGAAAGAGCCATAATGTTATAAAGTTCTAAAAAAAGTGTACTCTTTAATAAGGTGGAAATAAAATAGTGATTTCCATTAAAAAAAGCTCCCCCTAACCATGCAGGAAGGAGTACGCCACTGACAACAAATTTAAAGCACTTAGATTGGTAGAAAACGTTTTACAATTTTGGATACCATAAAAAGATTTTTAAAAAAGGTAAAGGCAGCTTTAGAACTATTTGGAAAAGGTCTAGAAGGCCCTTAAATGACTTTTGCTTTAAAATGCACACTGCAATGCAGATAAAGGTGTATGGATTTAACATAAATATCACAATACATCAAAATTTAGGAAACTTTACGCTCTTTTAGAAAACTCCAAAATATAAAGTGTAGTCTGTATGTATGAGAATGAGTGGAGTTGAGGTAGAATGGAAGGTGGTAAACCGTCACTTTTACCAAAATTGTATATTGCAGCCATACACCCCAAAGTACAAAAAAATCCCAAACACTCTGTACAAAAACTGTGTATCGCAAAGCTCTAAATGAAAAAGTGCTCTATGAAAAATTTGGCCAAAATCAATAATAAGAAATTAAAAAAATCGACTCAGAAATTAAAGTACTCGGCCCCAAAGGAGCCTCGTACTTCAATACTTTCTCGTCAGTAATGTGTAATTTTCCTGACTTTTATGTAAGTAACTATTAAAATGTTTTGAAAATATGTAGTTATTTAATATTGTCTTTGACATATTTATTTCCTGGTAATTAATTCTTGTAAATCTTTTTGATGTTTAAATGTAAGCCCGCATATCATAATAATATGAAAGGCGGCGGCGCTCGTCGAGTAAAGGGAAATTAGAGGCTTGACTAATATGTCTCCTTGTAGAATTAAATTGATTTTTACATGTATAACGGAAGGGCGTGTACCGCCACGGTTTCGTTTACTGAAACAGAAAGATAACAGTCTTCAACATCCGAAATGTACTAAGCAGAATCGCCATGGTTGGTTAACTCAGGATTGCAGACCTTTTCCAGTCCAAAGACGCCGGTTTGCCTAATTTCGACGTTGAACAATGGAATGGCCCCGTTTAGTGGACCTTGAACTAGTGTACACAAATCCCATTTAAAAATCAAGGTAGGCCAGAGTACCAAACTCGAAAAAAGCGATTATGTAACTTTTGCTTCTGCAGGAATCGGGAACGAAGATGCCTGAGGGAAAAAGTCGTTACTCGCATTCCAACCGCGGCGGTTTGAATTAATTGAACCATGACACGGGTACCCGTTACCAAAATGAGTCATCAATCCTTCTACATCGCTGTTGTTATAAACGTACCTACCTACAACTAAAAGTGCCGGCGTTTTGTGCGTACCAATTTTACATGGCTACCGTCCTTTATCTGGTTACCATTTTTGTGTGCATTCAAATCGGTAAGTACATTCGAAAATCATCATTATTATTATTGACTTACTGGTAAATTACCGTCAATCAGTTACTAACTCAAGGACTTTTCTACCTACTGCGTTTGGAAGGAAATTTTGATAGTTTCCCCGGCTCACCTGACATGACGCGTTCTATCTACATACCTACAAATTCTAAGCAAAGACGATGGCACACCTAGTCGCCATTTTTATTAATTATACAGTTTTGACGTCACGAAATTTAATTTAGTCTGGCTGTTGCTCCATTTAGCCTAATTGAATGACATCTGCATTCGTAGCCGTAGCGTAGCTTTATAATTGAATGCCGCCACATTTCTTAATTATTGTAATGTTCCTCTGGACTGTAAAAGTAGATCGATAATGCCTTAATGAAACTAAAACGCAAACTTACACGTGAATTATTGTCCCCACTTATCACGCAACCCCCTTTGCAGAAAGAATCGTTCCTTCTTACGACCATCCATCCACTCAACTAACCCCCATTAACCTCTCTCCCCGTTGCGGAGATCACAAGGGTGAGCCACGCATTTGAACCACCCTGTACACGGTATTCAATAGTGCGATTCCTCAGTAATTCTGGCAGTTTGTCTTGCCTCCCTTCTTATGTAGTAGTTCTAGTTGTTCTTTTATCCATTAATTTGTATATAATATTTGTCTTTCTAGTAACCTCCTTCCATACTTGATTATTTCGGCTGTTGTTGTCATTTCCTCTTATTTCTTTTTAAATTCTTCGTTATTTCTTTTCGTTTAGGCGGCATATTTATTGTTTTATCTTGGGGATTCTATCTGGTTTCTACTTTGTTTTGATAGAATTCCTTTTTCTCCACTTATTGTGTTCCCTAGGCCTTAGATTATCTTGAACAAAAGTGATCTTTTGCTGATATCCTCTTTTTTCGTTTGCGACCCTTTGGTTTCTGGTTTTATTGATTTGGTGGTTCCCTGTATATCTTTCAATTTGTCTCCATGTACTTCCTCTTTTCACTTCTAATCCTAGTTTACTTTTTCTTCTATCTTCATTTACGAATCGCTATCAAATTACTCTGTTCTTCCCAGGGGCGGTTTTATACATCCACTCAGGGGGGGGGGGGCAAAATAAAAAAAGCTACAGAATTGCAGATGCAGAGGTGCGCGGGAATTTTTTTTGAGTAGCTTTGACCCCATTTCAGCTGTTTTTTTTGTTAAACTATCTATTGCCGCATTAATTTCCGAATACTAACAAAGACAGAAAAAATACGAGAGGCGATAATGATAGTGCTAAAGTACAGCCGTGAGTCGCAGTCTGGACAATACACGATTGCGCCCCCGCCGGCATTATTTTGTGTACCTATTTTATTCAATTTTACTTTTCCGTCAGGTGGTTGGTGGTTAGGTCTATTTAATTCGATTATTATGTAAACCTAATGAAATAAAAAGCAATTGAGCAGTATGTTTAGGGGGGGGGGGGCGACCGCCCCTGTCGCCCCCCCCAAACCGCCCCTGGTTATTCCTTTCTTTACTATTTTGTTACATTTGTTTGCTGCGTTGTTTAATAGTTGTTTAATCCTTCTATTTTCCCTTCTAAGTGAAATTTATGTTTCTCTTTCAACTATTTGTTTGTATCTTTCTTGTTGTTCTTTTGTTATTAGTCTTATTATTTTGTCCATCTTCTGTTTCTTGTTCTTTATTTTTATTTTCATGGATTGGATGAAGTCATTGTTTCTCCAATCGTGTAATTCTAATGAAAGGCCTTATCGAAAGCAATTGGTTTATGCAAACTATCGCTTTCCTTCGTGACTCCTTTTCAAGATCAGTGGGTGAGGACGCTTCCTTGACCCCTTATCGTGATTGGTTATAATTTCTCATGTCTCAAGAGCGGAGTGTCGGTGGAGGGTACTTACTACAGACGATTTGAACTTCTGGACAAAATATATCCATTGGTTATGACTTTAAGAGCGAATATCCCGAATACGGTGTATCGGAGATTACTCACAAAGGCGAAATGAAACGCATATCTCGAAAATGAGGTGTCGGGAGAGGGTACTTATCAAGGGCAAGTGGAATGTCTGGACGAGACACATCTACTGATGATGTCAATACTTTACGTGCAAATATCTGCCGAACAGAGTGTCAGAGGAGGATACTCTAAAAGGGCAGTTGGAACGTCTAGACGAGAAAATGGAGTGTCGAAGAAGTTACCTACAGAGAATTTCTGTAAGGGCTTGCATTTTGAAAGTGTTACCGACCAGATGTACAGGTTTTTATGTAAAGAGCTCCCCCCCCCCTTCCGTAGTCATCTACCAAGAAGGTAAACATCGATAAATATTGCATGCCTATAACCCAATTGTTTACTGAACTATTTCGGTTTAAAAAAATGCGTTTTATCCGGAGATGACTCGTTATTTCTTTCTTACTTTTCGGTTTTATGTCTCGCATGGGCTTGATATAGACCATATCCTTTTTCATTACCTGGTCCTTCTTTATCCTCTTCTACCTATCGTTGGTAATTGGTTTTTTGACTCGGGCCTTTTCTATTCCACGTTAATCATCCATACTTTCCTTAGACCCCATTTTGAGGTCTTCTCTTTTCTTGTGCGATTCTTCTGGATCTTGGATCTTTTTTGTTGTATAATTATTTGTGGAAATCTTCGTTTCTTTATTAACGAGCGACTCTCGTTTATGATTTTGGACTTTCTGTCCGTCCGTCTGCCCGTCTGTGTATATCATAAATCGCGAACGGTTTCCAATATTCCAATTCTGTTTGCAGGAATAGGTATAGGCAATGGTCATTGACTAAGGGACCAAATGATTAAATTTTGGTCAGTTGGATTATCTGTCCGTCCGTTTGTGTTTGTTGCTCGTTGCCTATGTCGGTTTGAATAGTTTATTATCCCTCCTTTTTTTCTTATTTTGCATTATTTTACTCTTTTCTTCTTGGTCCTCCATCAGACAGGTGTTTATCATTAACTTGCGGGATCTTTTATTTTTACTTCTATCTCTAAGTGCTTCTTAATAAAATTACGTGTATCTTATCTTCCTTTGGCACTTATGTGTGGATTCCATTTACTACTACTGTTTTTCTGCTCTCTTGTTTCCTTTAAGTACTTTTAATTTTTTCTTTATTTGTGTATTTTCCTGTGTTAAGTGGATGTTATGTTTCATTAGTTCTCTATTTTCTGCGAAAAGTAGTTGGTTCGTCCTTCGATTCTCTCCTATTTCTTTGGCATTGTATGTTAGTCATCTCTAGCAATATATCCATTTTCTCTTTTCTCTTTCATATTTCAATTTTCATTTTTGAGCCAGTGCCCCTAAATTGAGAGAAGTACAATGGGGAACCTGAAGCAAATTTGAAGAGAATTTAAGGACGATTTTTAATGGGATATTTGCAAAAACGTTGACAGTAACTGCAGGGGAATTTAGTGGAATTTTGGAAGAGTTTTTGAGGCAATTGAGTGATATTTCACTACATGAGGGCAACATTAGGGGAAAGTACAAATTGGGAGAATTTTTACCTTTTAATGAATTCACTACGCAGACAACTACTTTGCGTCCTACGTCCCTACTTACGCCGAAAAGAACGCGACATTCTTGACAGCGATGAAACTCGTGCGTTAATAAAATTTTCCCCTAATACAACTCCTTATCGCAAACGACCAGATGTGTCTTCCTTCTAATACCTCATCTAAATTCAATATCTAAAACTACGCAATTACAAAATTTCTATAAAGAATAAATAACACTGAGATACAAATTTAAATAAAACGACCCAACTGTGTGCTTATTTCGTAAATAATCCCCCATATCTACTTGAATAAATTGAAGTGTGTAGGTAACGTCTGCATGACGTTGTTTACACAACAATATTATACATAATAATATGTTAAGTAATTACAGGATAATTGCAATCGTGTAAAGAATCATTATTTTATGGATTTCTTTCGGCATTTGGGGGAAGATGGGTCGTCGATTATTTGATCCACCCTATCTTCTTCAGGGGGGAAGATCGACTATTTGTTTCTCTTCTAGTTTGATCATTTTTTCAATGGAATATTGGAATTCAAACATGCGTGACCTTTGCAATAATTGATGCAAATAGTGATGCATTTTATTTCTGTTTTCCCACATGAACAACCCGTTTTGCATCCTGTTTTACCGGTGCACGGTTCCTCAGTTCTTGTGGTGCTGATGGATTCGTCGTAACGATAGGAGTTAAGCCGTTGGTATTAGTTTTCCACCCCCGCCTCATTGAATGTAGCACGTTATTCCACCATACCTGCACCTGTAAATTATCGCGGAAACTGTTCATCCTCGGCAAGGGTTAGTTTCTTCCTGAGCTCTTTTATAGTGTGCGGGTAGGGATGACTGGGTACAAATGCAGAATCCTGATTCTGAGTCTCTTCAAATGTAACTCTCATTTCCCATTTCTTTCAACAGCGATAAATTGCCGCAGAATAGCAACTGCTAATTGAAACCAATGGTTTATTTGGAGAATTCAAATTTAATGCCTATGATTTTCTGAGATCTTTGGAAAGAGTAATAAATATGCTGTACGACAACATTAAAGATAAATATGGTTGATGTACAACAAACATGGAGAAAGTCGTTATTTTTAGATATTTAGACCACATGAAATCTAGCATGCCGTGTGCTGTCATTGTGCCCGGTCTGAAAAGACCTACATCAACTTGTTTAATATTCCATATTGAAGATTTAGTTTTGCGCACGGCATAGTAGATTTCCTAACTTTTCTAAATATGGAAGCATGAATTTCTTCATCAAAGAAACATAGGCATTACATTTGAAACACAAAAGTAGTATCCATTTCCGGTTCAACCGAAAGTGGCACCGGAAGTTGCAATATGCCATCGGGTATATCGTGTTGATGCATACAAAATTATATTTGACCATTTTTTTCAAATCCCACCAAATAGAAGATGAATGGAGGTGACCCTATAATTATCTCGAGCACACTGTACATTAGCTTTCGAAACGAGAATTAAACGACATAAAGCACTTCTGACGTGTTGATGTTTCTCTGAACATGTTCTATTTGAAATTGTTTGTTGTTGTTTACCTTGCCATCAACTGAAAGATTTCGTTTTTTTGTTTATAAACTCCTTCCCACGACCTCAACGAACTCATTAGCATTTGACGTCTTCCAGGAGTAGTTTTTTGGTGGTTCGGTGATTTAATATTTAACAAATTATGAAGCTTGACGCGTAATATAAGTTTAATCCCAGAATCTGTACTTTTTGGAAGTCTATGCCATGAAAATCTTAGACCCACCCCAATTCTTCGAAAGGGGATGTTTCCTATGGAACCTAACATTCCGCACATTTACTGACGCAATGTTGGTGTATTTTAAATGCAAAAACTAGCTACTTAAGTATAAGTGTGTGAAAACATGACGCTTTAATTAGGAAAAATAATTAGATGTATAAACAAAAACATTTGCAGGTAAACATTTTCAAGGCTCTCTAAATTTAAAATAAATCTATGGTAAATAACACACAAAGAACGCATAGGAGGACGTTAAACTACTGCACTTGCATTGCGAAAAGATTGATCAACGTATCGGTCACATTTGCAATAAATTAATATCGTCCTTGAAAGCACTAATTTGAGAGCTGGTCAGGGGCTTTGGTTTACAACTTATAACTCGATGTAACTGACTGTACAGAAATGAATATGTTGCTTCTTTAACACTTAGAAAATTACCAATTTCTATTTGTATACAAAATGTAGCGAGCAAGTTAAAGCATATAAATGAACCAAAGAGTGTGACCTTGGATACCTCTGAATGTCATTTGTAAGTCAAAGAACATTAATTCCATTCAAAACTGAAACCGAATGTTGGGCGCTGAACAGAAAGGTGGAAGGCCCTACCGAAACAAACTGGCCCAGCAACTTACAAACCTATCATCGAATGGCACTACCCCCACCAAGGTTAATAAGAAGAATGGATGGATAAGATTAGGCAGTTCCACCCCTGGCCAACCCTAGGGCCAGCCTCTAGAGAAAGGGTTATTCAAAACATGTAGCTGGTGCAATCTTCAAAAATCTATGAAAACGTCACTAAATTGTCATAAGGATTTTCGTTGCATTGGATTTTTGAAGCTTACAAAGGTACAAGGGATACTTACAGCTATCTGAAGGCTAGGATTCCGCCATGTCTACAACATCCGGTAACCGTTCTGAAGGTTCCCTCTTTAAATACTTCAATACTTACCCAGTCATTTGGATTTTTAAGACCTCTGTAGTACCACAAATTAGCTGGTATTTAAGTTGCCAAAAGCTGTAGGTATCTTCTGAAACATTTGGCGCTTTGTCCATACAAACTTTACAAATTCAGGGTTCCTGGAACTTTCACTGTTAGTTTTTATTAACGCCCGAAGACTATAGGGTCGACGGGTTCTTTTAGCTTATTAAACCCTCGAAGTTTCGAAAAACCTTTGGAACATTTCAGGTTCCTGGTGTTTTTTTGGGAAATTTAACTATCAAGACAAAAGGCACTGCTGGAATCGTTTAGGTTTAACAAGCTCTAAAATACGTTGAGTATCTATCTAAAATTTCTGAGATTAACCTGGAAAACCTCTAGAGTCCTCTTTATTTTATGTGTTAACTTGGGTTGGAAGTTTGTAGAGTACTTTGCAGGTTTCCAGTTTTGTAGTTGTTCTTTCATGGCGCCTCAATGTCTATCGAGATTTCTAGAATATTCGCTACAATATTGGTAGAAGGGGCCTTTTAGGAATCACTCTAGAAACGTCTTAATAATATTTTTAGATATTTTTAGGACCCTAATGTAATAAGACTGTGTTTAAGATCATGTTAAAACCTCTATAACGCATTTTTTTAAGAATTAAAGAAAAAAGGACTCATTTCTGTGGTTTTAAGCTACTTTGTTAGAGCAGATAGCCTATACTAGCTTGATAGTGTCCCAGACGGCCATCAAACTTTGTTGTCTTAAGGAGGCGGTGGGGCTCTCCACGTATTATTTTCTGTGATGCCGTCTTTGAAAGTAATACGGGTATAACTTTTACATGTGACAACCAATTGGTCTCAGATTTTGCATACGCATGCCAAGTAAAACTATTGAGGCTTTGAGGTGGACACTATTGTAAGGAAACCTCTCTTGACTCCCCCCCCCCCCCCCCCCCCCCCCCCCCTCACGTTTATAACTCGATGCAACTCAATCCACATTTACTTTTTTCCCTCACGATGGCAGCAGCACAAAATGCCTTGAATTCGAACCTTTCCGAATAGCAAAGTTTTAAAATCTCTTCAAAATCTCTTCAAAATCTCTTCAAAATCTCTTCAAAATCTCTTCAAAATCTCTTCAAAATCTCTTCAAAATCTCTTCAAAATCTCTTCAAAATATCTTCAAAATCTCTTCTAATCTCCTTCAAAATCTCTTCAAAATCTCTTCAAAATCTCTTCAAAATCTCTTCAAAATCTCTTCAAAATCTCTTCAAAATCTCTTCAAAATCTCTTCAAAAAAATCTCTTTAAAAATCTTCAAAATCTCTTCAAAATCTCTTCAAAATCTCTTCAAAATCTCTTCAAAATCTCTTCAAAATCTCTTCAAAATCTCTTCAAAATCTCTTCTCTTCAAAATCTCTTCAAAATCTCTTCAAAATCTCTTCAAAATCTCTTCAAAATCTCTTCAAAATCTCTTCAAAATCTCTTCAAAATCTCTTCAAAATCTCTTCAAAATCTCTTCAAAATCTCTTCAAAATATCTTCAAAATCTCTTCTAATCTCCTTCAAAATCTCCTTCAAAATCTCTTCAAAATCTCTTCAAAATCTCTTCAAAATCTCTTCAAAATCTCTTCAAAATCTCTTCAAAATCTCTTCAAAATCTCTTCAAAATCTCTTCAAAATCTCTTCAAAATCTTTTCAAAATCTCTTCAAAATCTCTTCAAAATCTCTTTAAAATCTCTTCAAAATCTCTTCAAAATCTCTTCAAAATCTCTTCAAAATCTCTTCAAAATATCTTCAAAATCTCTTCAAAATCTCTTCAAAATCTCTTCAAAATCTCTTCAAAATCTCTTCAAAATCTCTTCAACATCTCTTCAAAATCTCTTCTCTTCAAAATCTCTTCAAAATCTGTTCAAAGTCTCTTCAAACTTCTTCAAAATCTCTTCAACATCTCTTCAAAATTTCTTCAAAATCTCTTCATAATCTCTTCAAAATTTCTTCAAAATCTCTTCAAAATCTCTTCTAAATTTCTTCTAATCCTCTTCAAAATCTTTTCAAAATTTTTTTAAACCATCTTCATTATCTTTTTAAAATCTCTTGAAATTCTCTTGAAAATCTCTTCAAAATCTCTGCAAAATCTTTTAAAAATCTTTTCAAATCTCTTCAAAATCTCTTCTAAATTTCGTCTAAACCTCATCAAAATCTTTTCAAAATCTCTTTAACATCTCTTTATTACCTTTTTAAAATATCTTGAAATTCTCTTGAAAATCTCTTGAAAATTTCTTCAAAACCTGTTAAAAATCTCTTCAAACTGTCTTCAAAATCTCATCAAAATCTCTTCAACATCTCTTCAAAATCTCTTATTTCATTTTATAGCAGATGCCAAATTGACATTTAAATAGGTTTGAATGAGTAGGCTAAGTGTCTAAGTCATGGGTAAGGATGGATAAAGTGAAACCAATGACTGTGTATTCTAAGATGTCTGTTATTCTAATTAAAATGTGACGCCGAGCACGAAATAAAATGAAGGTCTGAACAGAATACAATATTGTTTCCATGGAAACAACGGGAGAACCCAAGTTTGCTACTTTTGACGTCTGAATTAAATTCAGAATTTTTAGAGGTTTTATAACGATCTATTTACGTAAGTTCTGCTATAAAGTAAAGTTTTGTATTATACACGACGATAAAGAGAGACTAACCAAAACATCCCTTTAGCCGGTGGCGCCTATTATTTTATAGTGGTGAAAATTTCTAGTGATAAAACTATAAATTTCTGTGTAGTAGGAATTTGTATTTTTGGTTCAATTTAATTACGTTGCAGGTTACGCTTTGAAATGTTACAAATGCAATTCGCAAACAATGGACGGCTGCAAAAAAGGATCCGAAAACCTACAGGAGACCAACTGCAGCTTGGAGCACCCCGATTTTAATCAGTTTTGTCTGCTAAAATTCGTATACGGTACGTAAAGGCTTAATTCTTTCCCATTTCGCTCATTAAACTAATTATCATTGTACCCCAACAGAAAAAAAGACACAAAAAGTTTAACGCGCGATAATTATTACTGTGTGAAAATTCTAAACCTTAATTTGAGGAAGTTGCGACGTTAACAAAAGTACCTTCCTTTTATTTGTTGGTTAAAATCGTCGCCATGTTGCGAAACCTTCAAATGTAAACGATATTTAATGAGGTAACATTTGATATTTTTTTCATTTTAATTGATGACCTTGAATGCCATTGATATACAGTAATTTTGTGTATTATTACAGTAAATATAAGTACTGATACCTATACGAATTCTAATTTCAGATGAGCAACAGAATAAGGATAACGTTCTCTCTGGTTGCGAAATTGCTGCCAAATCGACAATTTTGAGTACGAATATGACTCAGTGCCAAACTGATGGAAGATACAGGGTGAAAGAGTGTATCGTTTGTGATACCGAGCTGTGTAATTACACCAATACCGGTTCAAGCAAGAAAACGTCAATTTTCTGTACTGCGGTGCTCTTTGTACTATACAATTTCCTTAGGTAACTGATGTACTTCAGAAACTACTTAACACTGGTACCTCAACTACTTAAATGCCAATTAATCTTTGTACATAATTGTATTTTTGAACAAAAAACGGATTTATTTATTAAACCAGTAGATATCGCCAGCTTATTTTTCTGACAAAGGGTTAATTTTTGAAGTGCATTTAGAAGGTTTGCTGTAAATACAATTCACAAAGAAGAAAAAGTAGAAAAGACCGTAGACCTAGCCGAAGGATATGCAATAGATAAAGAAACAGAAAATCCTAAGAAGCCTAATAAATGAAACAAATAAGAAAAAAGTATAGAAATGGAAGAATAGAATAGAGATACGTACGAGGGGTCTTTTATTTTCCCGGGCTAGGCATGAAAACACAAGACTGGACTAGCAACAGCAACATTTCATTTTTCAATGTAGTTCACCTGATTTTAAATACAGTGTAACACCTCTTCTAGTATAAAGATATTCATTTGGCCCTCAACAGCTGCTATAAGTACGTCTTTTGTCTCCCTTAATGTTTTTCGGGAACAAGAAATAATCACTGGGTGGCTCTAGACTACATAAGGCGAATGTTCATTTTCTTCGAAGCCACAATCGGCTATACCAGCTTTCGAGGTTCTGGACTTGTGTACTGGTGCCTTGTCGTGGAGCAACAAGGCACCTTGCGTCAGTTTTTTGCATCTCTAAGGCGATGCATCAGGTTTACATAATGCTCTCCCGTTACCGTACTACCCTTATTCATATAATCAATCAGAAAAATTCACTGAGAGTCTCAAGAACTGGTTGCAATTATTTTTCCTGCAGAAGGGGTGACTATGAACTTCTTTGGAGGGCCGGAGTCCTTAACGTGCCACTGAATTCACTGTTGTTTCGATTCCGGATCACAATCAAACACTTGGTTCATCTGAAGTGATCACGTCATCGGGGCACCAATCACTCCCGTATACATCCAACATTTATTCAAGAATAATTTTTGGTTTCAGAGCCCGGTGTTATAGGCTGATTCAAATTCGAGGGCCACCATGGGGATCTTGGGCACTGTAAGATATAGGTAGGTAGTTTAAATTTGGCAACGTTGCGTATTTTGATGTTTATCAAAATGCAGTTTTGAAACTGAAAAAATTCCGACTACTTTAGGAGGTATCCGGAAAAAACGAAATTTTGCAAAATAGTTTTTATTCTTTAGTGAAGTTATTTAACATTTTTTTTCAAAAATGGCCACTTGGAGTTTTAAATTTTAAACCCGACGATTCGTCTCAGGATTGTTCTTTCTTATGGAAGTAATGTTTACTTTTTGTGTCATTTGATAGAGAATTTTTTTCTTGTTTCAAAAATGTAAACATTACAATTTTTTTAATATTGTTAAAATATCTTGTTTTTTGACTAGAAAACTTTGTCTTGGGTAGTGTAGGTACGTAGTTTCTTGTGTTTTTACGAATTAATAGCGCTATTTCTTATTATATGATTTTTACATTTTTGAAATAAAAAAAAATTCTCTATCAAATGACACAAAAAGTAAAAAGCACTTCCATAAGAAAAACCAAAGTTGAAGGTGGTTGACTGTAGACGAAACGTCAAACTTAACATTTAAAGGTAGCATCTTGTAGAGGCTACAATTATATGTCTTTTATTTCGAAATATATTTTTAAAGAACGCATCTTGTAGAGGCTACAATTATATGTCTTTTATTTCGAAATATATTTTTAAAGAACTCCAAAATAAAAACGATTTTGCAAAATTTCGATTTTCTCCGAAAGTAATCGGAATTTTTTCAGTTTCAAAACTGCATTTTGTTAAGCATCAAAATACGCAATTTTGCCAAATTTAAACTACCTACAGTTCCCGATATACCCATGGTGGCCCTCGAATTTTAATCATCCTGTGTAAAATACAACGCGCGACTACACATACTAACATATAATAAAATTGACAATGTTTCAATTGCTTTGTATATTTCTACACAAGTTACCAAGGCATTATGTGATTAAAGAAACTGCATAATGAAGAATTACATCAAAATTCAAAGCTGCCCAGTCCGGAAACGTGAAAATGACCCCTCGTAGTTTCCTTAAAGTCCTAGGAAATCCCATCAAATTCGCGAAGACCCATTGAAATTACTATGAAAGCCTACGCCAGGAGTGCAAGCATAATATGGAAAGGAATTCTAGTCAATATGGATCATCCCGTTCTCATGGAAGGTGACGGGACGATATTATCCTTTAGTAGCCGGCACTCAAACCAGGGGTTTGGGTTTCAAGACTGAACCTTCAGATTTCGGACACTTTTCCAGGCCGATTTAAATAATAATCTTCATAACTCAAGCTGCAAAGCTCAGGTTCCGTATATAATACACCGTGGCTCAGTTTGTAGTTGAAGCTTAAAGCTCAAACTGTAGGCTTCAAATTCAGGCCAAAAGATTTTAGTTCCAGTACCTGCACTGTTCATGTTTAGTTTCAGACGATTCACCTTTCAAGATCTAAGGTTTTACGTTTAGTATAGAAAGTTTCAAAGACCAGCCTATACGGCAGGTTTCAGATTTGAAACAATGCCTGAAATTTGAATTTCCAGGCAATTTTCTACCTCCATTGTATGGAGCGCCAGAAGAGTCAAAAATGTTTATAAAGACAAAGAAAGTGAAGAAATTAATCGAGCAAGCCAGAATTTCCGAAAAAGATACGTGTCAAAGAAGATAAGAAATATAAGAATGTCGAAGAATTTTAAGAAGTCGCCGCAACCGAAATTTAACAGGTACGAAGAAATAATAATAATAATAATAATAATAATAGCCTAAACAGCACTTTAGACTCACAACATGACACACAACATACTGTAATATCTCCACCCTTAACTCAACCAACCACACAAACACAACTTCCTGAACAAACAAACGCAATAAATACAAGTAACGCAACATGCACTACAAAGACGCCCTCACCCAATAAAGTTACACGGCCTAGCACAGCTAAAAAACACAATACTCTTTCCTCTCAGAAACACACCTCGTTATCACAACCCACTCGTACTCAACGCAAACGCAGCAACCTTAACAGTACTAGAGGCTCACAAAATACCGTAATGTCTCCACCAATAATGCGAGCAACAACACAAACACAACCTCTAGAACAAAGAAACACCATAAATACAAGTAACGCAATTTGCACTACAAAGACAGGTCCACCCAATAAAGTTACACGTCCTAGCACAGTTAAAAAACGCAATACTCCTTCTTCTCAGAAACAACCCACTCGTATACAACCCAAACGCAAAAACCTTGACAGCACTACTAGCTCACAAAATACTGCAATATCTCCACCAAAAACCCAAGCAACCACACAAATACAACCTCAAGAACAAAGAAACACCACAAATACAAGTAACGCAACTTGCACTACAAAGACAGGTCCACCCAATAAAGTTACACGCCCTAGCACACTTAAAAAACACAAACTCTTTCTTCACAGAAACACACCACATTGTCACAACCCACTCGTATACAACCGAAGCGCAAAAACCTTAACAGCACCACAGGCTCACAAAATACTGCAATATCTCCACCAAAAACCCAAACAACATCACAAATACGACCTCAGGAACAAAGAAACACCATAAATACAATTAAAAAACACAAAACTCCTTCTTCACATAAACACACCACGTTATCACAACCCACTCGTATTCAACCCAAACGCAAAGCCAAAGAAACACTTACACAATAAAGTCTATTTAATAAAATTACAGGAATTATTATAATGATATTTTTGTTTTGTTTTCTTCTTTCCTGATAGCGTTGACTATTGGGGCCATTAATGGCTATGTTGGTAAGTATGAATTACATACTATCTCTAGATTTCCAATGTGAGTGTGTGAATATTTATTTTATTTTTTATTTTTCTTTAGAACCCTACATAACTTCACTAGACACAGACACTAATCGTTACTTGATTTTAATCCGTGCGATTAGTTAACCAGGCTAGACCTGAGTTCTCACAAGAAACACCGACAATAATAATAATAATGCTTTATTGCCCAACAGAATATCCAATTAAAGGACAAATCACAATATGAAGTTAATTACCTACACACAAAATACAAAAATATAAGATAAACATGTACGGTGGTTTAAGTAAATTAGGAGAAGAAAAAAAAAAGTAATTCGAAACATACAAAAATTCTTAATTAATAGTTAGTTGCGGTCGTTACATACTCAATGTTCGAATGATGTCCTTCCAGGATGAGTGAGTAATGTCACAGATTGAACTTATAGTATTGATAAGTAGATGCTGAAGCAGCCGAAAGGATGAAACTGCAATTATTGAAGAAGCCGGGATTTATGGGAGTTTTTGTGGTAACCGCAAACGTTGATGGAACAGAGGAGGGAATATAAGACTAGGAATCTGCAGATTGTCGACGCAACCGCAAGTTAAAAAAATTCAAAGAAGCCTATAATGATCCTTTAAGGGGTTTCCCAAGCCGGCAAGGCAATCTTGACTTACCCTGTACTTACAGTTGGCAACTTTGGTGGGAAAAACTATGAGCAAAGTCATGTAACCTTCAAGTCGAAACAACGGACGTTTTGCGGCACTTTTGAATCTCCGTCGGCTAGGACCTGGGTGGCACGAATAGGTCCTACCAGGGGTCCTACATTGTGTAATACTAGGACAGTTCTTTTATGTGTTGGGACGTGAGACATAATCGGGAAGGGAATTGAATAAAACTTATAGTTTTGTGCGTAAGAAAACACAAGAACAAATACAATATTCTACGCACACATGAAAGAGGCCAGGAAAAAAATCCATCATAAATGGAAGTGGAGAACATGATAAATCAAATTAATTACAAGATAGGTACATCTACAATCAATTTAGGCAAATCTCGTAAAATGCATGCCCAAGTAAAACCAATAAATAGAAGAAATGTGACTTAGAGGAACCCCTTCTCAGTATAGGTATGCTAAGACACAAGAGCTACAGTCCCCACGAGATGCGACGAGCAGCATATACAGCGACATCAACATGACTCTAATTATAAACTTGCTCATGAGTACATAAATAAATACTTAATAAAACAATATAAAGGCATTATCATCTGTACAGTATAACAAACAGACATGATTTAGATAAAGGTATA